ATTACAACACAACAGCACGACCATATCAATAAAGCACACTAACCTCGCAACCCTGCCACAAACTCACCAACATTATAACAAACACCACAAAATACCCCTGTTAATACTACCACAAATACAAAGTACCCCAAATGGAGGGCGCACCCCAATAGCCCCAATGGCAACAACAGGACTAACATCACAAAAAAATGGGCACTACACGACCATACCCTTAGTAAAATTCGAACGCCACAGACACCCAACAAAACACCCAACAACTTGAAATCGAGATTTCACCATTAAGAATAATACAATCAAAGCCAATTAAGCAAAGAAATATAACATTAATCAAATAATCATTAGGATTAACCAAATATTTTTCCAATGTAAATATATATGCATAATAACATCAAAGCCCACATAGCTAACACCATAGGACAACGACACGAACACTGACGCGGACAAACAGATGATGTGCTATCATCGGCAAGGCGTCCTTATCGTCAATTGTAGGACAAAATGACTTAGTGCCCACTCTGAATCGACGACGACAATGTATAACCAGAAGGGGGTTTTCACTTTTTTAGGGTTTGAGGGGATGTCAAATGTTAATTCCATAAGGTCGATTGAAGATTTAACATTGCCAAATCCAACTGTGCAAAGAAATGAAGTGAGGATAATTGTTGTAACATTGAAAATCGAGAACTTTCCATCTTCGACTTGTCCGTTTTGATCGCGTTCAGGGAAACCAAAAAAGATTATAGTACGCTTTTGGTCAATTTGGTAAATACAACATCACCTAAAACCCACATTTACCCCCTAACAAATGCAAGCCACGAGCTGAATTCATGGGCTTCAAGGTCATTAACATTAAAATGAGACTTTTTAAGTCTATAAAAATAAAAATAAAAAATAAAAAAGGTAAGACTGCATGGTTCAAAAAATCAAATTTTGGGATTTAATGGTGTTTTACTCTTATTTTTTAGACTCAAACAAAATGTCACTTTTTATTTTTTGTTTTGTTTTGTTTCTTTGCTCTTCTTTTTTTGTTCTTTTTGTTTTGTTTTATTTTTTTTCAAAATCTATTTTATTTCTTTGTCGTATGATTCGATAGCACTTCATCCTTATGTTTTTCAAAAATAGCCACATACCTTTTATGTGATTTTGGATTAAAATGTTTTAGTTACATTTTTTATCTAAACTAACAGAGAGTGTGTCTCACATGTCTATTTGGAGAGTGGAAAATGAAAAAAAAAAAAATTAGTCAAAGTTAAATTTCAATGTAAGAAAACAAAATTAACCTTGTTCTACTTCCATTTTTTTTTTATAAATTTTTTGTTTTATCTTCTACCTACCTTAAAACCCTAATCCAAACCCAACCCTTTTCACTAGTGTATATATAAAATTATATAGACACTATAATTTATTATCATAAAATTACATTAAATTTTAACCCAATTTTTTAGTTAATAATAATTTAAATTATAGATACATACACACACACACACACACACACACACATATATATATATATATATATATAACAAATTAAACTATAAATTAATCTAAATACCTTAATTTATTATTATAAAAATTAATTATCAAACTACATAAACATATATATATATATATATAACAAATTAAATTATAAATGGGGCACTTATTCATAAATCTCTGTTCATGTACTTATGTTTCACTAGTCTAAATTATTTTCTTATGTTTGAATAATTCGTATGGGTGACATAGTTTCCAAAATACCCTTAATAATAATATTCACATTGACAGTGTAAATGTTCCATGATATGAACATTAACACTGTCAATGCGAATATTCACATTGTAAAATATGAATATTCATATCATCAACTTATTAACCATTCAAAAAATATTTGTAAGGAAAAAATTATCCATAAAATACTTTAAATATGAGAATTAGGATTTGGTGGATCAAATGTTCAAATAATAGTACTTATTGTAATACAAAAATATATTATGGACTAATTGGAATACAATTACTTGAGAATTAGGATTTGGTAGATCAAATGTTCAAATAATAGTACTTATTGTAATACAAAAATATATTATGGACTAATTGGAATACAATTACTTGAAAAATGATTTACTAATAAATCTCTCATTATAAATTAAACTAAACACCCTAATTTATTACCATAAAATTATCTTATTTAATAACATTTTAAATTAAACACACACACACACACACATATATATATATATATGTATATATAACAAATTAAATAATAAATTAACCTAAATAACTTAATTTATTACCATAAAATTAAATCATAAAAGTACTTTAATCTAATTTTTAATTTTTAACCTAATTTATTATTTAATATTATTTTAAATTAAACATGCACATATATGCATATCAACAATGCTAGATTTACACAATTTCTCTTCTTCACAATCCCCCGAATAAGATGGCAAGACGGAATACATGTAAAGAGAATCTTGAGAGAATATTGAAGTGTGGGTCAACTTTTTAAATTTTACTTGCCACATTATTCGAGGGAGTTTTGGAGGGGGGAGAAATTATGTGGATGAATCATTTTTCATAAATTTAACAAATTAAATGATAAATTAATTACAATGTTATAATATATACATACATATATATATAGTATGGGAAATCCTACGGGGGTGTGTAATATATGCACCCTATCACAAATTGGCGTAACTTCACTATAAAATTGCGTAACATCAACCACAAATGCGTAACCTGCCAATAAATTAGCTTAACAAAATGTATAAATTTATGCAATTCATGTAACAAAGTTACGACATTATGCATGGTGAAATACTAATGAAATACATGGTGAAATAGAGATGAACCGTTAATTTTCTCATTGTCCATTTTTTTCATATAAAACTAATTCGGGCACGTAATTGTTGTTATCTGATTGACTTTATTTTTTTGCCTAAATAATATACTCGATGAACCCTAAAATGTGAATAGTTCGAATTATCGAAAAAAAAATCCAAAAATGGGCCCACGTCCCAGACTAAACGGTCCAGTCTTGATCTCTAATTGGAGACAAGTTAGACCCGAGTAGGGTATAGTGTTAAACTAAGGGTTGTTGAACTAGTTATTTTAGTTTACTTTTTGATTTTTTTATTTTATTTGTAAAAAGACGTATAGAAAAATAAAGAGAATAATTGGTTTTTTGGTAATAACTTCTTTATGTATGTTTGATTTATTGTTCTTGTTTTTATTCCTATTTGTGTTTCTTGTGTTGTGTCACCCAACTTGATTTTTTTTTTTTTGGATCAATAAAAAAGGATGCTCTAAGGTATCATTACGGTATCCATGGGCTCAGGTTCCGGGATAACCAGTTGCTAGCCTGATTTGACCCAACTCATAGGAAGAGACCCACTACTGAGGCACTAGTGAAGCTCATCAACCACCCTCAACAGGGCCAAGATTCAATCAAAGTACAGCGCGAAATCTCCGAAGAGAATTACTAGAAAATACCTAGCGTTTTGCGCCCACCAGAGTCAAACTTGGCACACTATTAGGGAAGACAATGCGTTCACCACTTAGCCACCACCTCGGTGGTTGTCACCCAACCTAATTAGTTACATCAATTTCCAACAGCTCTCACCGTAACTCTCTCTCCACCGCAACCCACGTCTTCCTTGCAGATTTAGACTAGTATGCAAGAACAAATTTAAAAAATCATACTCAAAATTTGAAGAGAACAAAAAAAGTACACATATGCATAAACATATTGGATGGTTAGATTTAGGGTAATGTATCATATGCAAGTCATGATATTTGTGAATTTGATTACTATAAATGTCATAATTCAATTCTATGAGAGATCATTAAAAACAATGAGTTATAACCAAACATCACAAATCCTATGGAAGTCATCATTAATAAAGAAAATGAGTTATAACCCAACATCACATAAGATATGATCTTAATCGAAATAATTTGATAACTAATATAATTGTAATTAAGATCAAATATCATAGAAGTTGAAAAACTAAGGTGCATATGGTATACGCCCATAGAATTTCCCTTGTAGCTTTTAAAATTCCCTTACAGATTTATGTCAATTTTAGAAGTAGTTTATCAAGTAAATACCCAATAAATAGTTAAAAGTACGTATAAATAACTTTCAGGCATGGTCCTTGGACTTTGCCTTTTCTTTCTGCTGATGTAACCATCAGTTTAATATTTCTAATGCAACTAGATTGTGAGACTTGTATGCTCATATAACATTTTGCCAGTAATGATGCCAAACACAACACCGAAATGTAGTTGCATCAAAACCATATCATTATTATTATTATCATTGACATGGGTAGGCCCATAAAGGCTACAGCTCACTATGAACAACCCAGGCTCACCACTTAGGGCCCAATACATAATCCATTTAATGAAGCCCAGCACTGCTGAAGCCCCCACATAGCAATAAGAACCAATGACATCAAGACACATGGGAAGAGAAGGGCAAACCACAGCAGCAGACAAAGATCTGCAAAGTTATTGCTACGCCACATTGCCATTAATAAGGCCCTTTACAACATTTATTGCTATAATCCCTCTCCGTCGGGACAACACGCCCTCACCCTAAACAAGGTAAGCTACGGCATAGACTTTCGGCCAAGGTGACAGGTCGAAAGGGACAACAAAATGATTACCAGAGGATATAAGCAGACGTTGAAGACAAGAAGAAGGTTAAGCTTTCTATCTCTAATCTCGCTTTATACTCCACTCCTCTTTCTAACTTGCTCGTCGGAGGGTTCGTTGGGGGACTCCCCGTTCCCCGTTGAACTCGTGTGCAGGTCTTCCGGTGGGTTTGGTCATTCGGACATAGGCTTAAAGAGTGTGGATCAGTCCGACCCGTTCTATCATCACAAACTGTATCATTAATTATTATTATTATTTTATTTTTTAAAATTTTTATTTTTCTGAATAGAAAACCATAGCCTTAATTGCTGATTGTGTGACTTTGAACATTGATCAATCTAATGAGATGCTAAGCCACCATGGAATTCACTGCTGTTGGTCAAGTAGCTGGAAAATTTGGGGTATATGCAACTGAAAAAGTTGAAAAGAAATTGGTTACTTCAAAGACTACAAGACCAAGGTAAAGAACTTGAAAAAGCTAGTTCAGAATCTCCAGGATAAGAAAAAAGGGTGCAACGACAAATTGATGCCGCAATAAACAACTTAGAAATCATTGAAGATGATGTTCAAAATTGGGTTAGACTAGTGGATGAAATCACATCAGACACTGATAAATTTTTGGAAGCTGCCAATCACAGGTAATGTTCCATTGCAATGTTAAGACCCCATGCCATATAAATACTTTATTTATTTGTTGTCCTTTTCTATTTACAAAATAGATATAATATATATATATATATATTAAACATAACAGATGCTTCAATGGGTGGTATATTAACTTGTGGGCACGTTACAAGTTTGGTAAAGAAGCATTCAAGAAAGCTAGAGAAATTGAAAAGCTCCAAGAAAAAGCCAACTTCGAAGCTGTGCCATACACTACTCCTTTGCCAGAAATAGAGTCATCTTCCTCAACCAAAAATTTCACAGCATTTGAATCAAGGAAGTCACTGGTGAAGAGAATTATGGAGGCTCTAGATGATGAGAACATCAACATGATCGGGATATGTGGGATGGGAGGAGTTGGTAAGACAACAATAGTGGAAGAAGTTTGCAGACAAGCTAAAGCAGAGAAGAAATTTGATAAGGATGTGATGGTGGTCGTGTCACAAACTCCAAACTTGGCAAAGATCCAAGGAAAAATAGCCCAGGAATTAAACCTGGTTCTAGAAACTAAAGATAAGTCGGAGACACCACAATCATTGTGGGTGAGAATCAAGGCAGAGAAGAAGATTTTGGTAGTACTGGATGATATTTGGGACAAAGTTGAACTAATTGAGAAGGTTAGTATTCCTGTCGAGGAGGATCATAAGGGTTGCAAGATCCTGCTCACCTCTCGAAGAAAAAATGTCTACAACAAAATGAATGCTGAAAAGATTTTCTCCATGGAGGTGTTAGATGAAGAAGAAGCATGGATACTTTTCAGAGGGACAGCAGGTGAAATCGTTGGCTCTACTGATTTGAATCCTATAACGAGAGAGGTGGCTAGGGAATATGGTGGCTTGCCAATTGCCATTGTAACAGTTGGAAGAGCTCTCATGAAAAATCGAAGCAAGGACGTGTGGATTGATGCAGCTTAACAACTAAAAAAGTCTGTCCCAACAAAAATTGAAGAGGTGGAAGCATATGTATATTCTTCTCTAAAGTTGAGTTTCAATTATTTAGAAAGCGAGGCAAAGTCATGCTTCTTACTTTGCAGCTTGTTTCCAGAGGATACTGACATTCCTATGATAGCATTGGTGAGATACGGGATAGGCCTCGGGTTGTTTCAAGATGTGGACACTATAGAAGATGGTAGACATAGAGCACTTGCTCTTGTGAGTACTATCGTATCATCTTTTATGTTATTGGAAATTGATGGAAAAATTAAGATGCATGTTGTTGTTCGAGACTTTGCAATACATGTTGCTTGTAGAGAAAAGGCCGAACATATCATGAAAGCTGGTATTGGACTAACATACTGGCCAAACAATGATACTACATTTCAAAATTACGCGAGGATGTCGTTGATGGAGAATGATATTTGTGAACTTCCGTGTAAACTTGGTATAGAGAGAGAGACTGAATAAATTGTATATTAATTATGTTCTGTGATTTACAAGGAGCAGATCACTCTCTTTTATAGAGAGGAAAGTGTGGTACATAGAATGCTAACAGTGTACATAGGATGCTAACACCGAAAGCAGAATGTATACAACATCATTAGTATGACAGCTATATATTACACTATATTACACTAACAGCCCTCCGCAAACTCAAGGAGGGTAAGCATCAACCAGCTTGAGTTTGGAAACGAGAGCATTGAAGCGACCAGGAGGATGAGCTTTTTTGAAAATATCAGTAGGTTGATCAACAGAAGCAATAGGGAAAAGAGGAACAGTGCCACGGGTAACATACTGGCGAATGAAGTGACAATCAATCTCAATATGCTTGGTGCGATCATAGAAAACATCATTATGAGCAATCTGAATGGCACTCCGATTGTCACAATAGAGAGAGGTAGCACTAGAAGAAGAAACACCCATATCAACAAGGAGCCATCGAAGCCATAGAAGTTCCTAAATAGTACTAGTGAGAGCACGATATTCAGCTTCGGTACTAGAGCGGGCAGTGAGGGATTGTTTCTTGCTGCGCCAAGTAAGAAGAGAATCCCCTAAGAAGAAACAGAAACCCGTAGTTGAGCGTCGATCCGTAGGGTCCCCAACCCAATCAGCATAAAAAAAGGCACATAGTTCAAGAGAAGAGGAAGCAGAGTAGTGAAGGCCATGAAACAGAGTGCCTTTGAGGTAGCGAAGTATGCGGAGGAGAGCAGTATAATGTGGGGTGCAAGAAGCCGACATGTACTGACTAACAAGATGAACAGCATAGGCAATGTCAGGACGAGTCACAGTGAGATAGACAAGACTACCGACGAGCTGGCGATAAAGAGTAGTATCAGAGAGAAGATCCCCATCAAGAGGAGTAAGACGAATCTGAGGATCAATTGGAGTAGAGGTAGTCTTGCAATCTGTAAGACCAGCACAGGCCAGAAGATCGGATGCATATTTGGCCTAGGACAAATAGGAACCAGTGGAATCATGGGAGATTTCAAGGCCTAAGAAGTAGTTAAGTGTACCAAGATCCTTCATCTCAAACTGACGATGGAGAAAACATTTGAGGTGAAGAATACTAGCTGCATCATCACCAGTGATAATCATATCATCCACATAAAGAAGAAGAAGAGTGGTGCCATGAGTAGTAGTCCGAACAAATAATGCAGAGTCATAGGAGCTAGAAGTGAACCCGAAGTCATGAATGGTAGAACTGAACTTAGCAAACCAAGCACGTGGGGGCTTGCTTGAGACCATAGAGGGCACGCTGTAGTTTGTAAACCTTATAAGGTGGATAGGTAGACCCAGGTGGAGGTTGCATCTAAACCTCCTCAACAAGATTACCATTAAGGAAAGCATTTTTGACATCCATCTGAAAGAGCTCCCAGTGGCGAGCAGTAGTAACAGCAAGCAAACTGCGAACAGAGATAAGTCGAGCAACATGGGAAAAGGTCTCCTCATAATCAATGCCATATTCCTGGTTGAAACCCTTGGCAACAAGACGTGCTTTGTAGCGCTCAATAGAGCCATTAGAATGAGTCTTGATTTTGTAGACTCATTTGCAGCCAATTGCAGTCTTGCCAAAAGGAAAATCAACAACATCCCAAGTATGTGTTTTGTCCAAAGCCTGGAGTTCATCAGTCATAGCTTGCTGCCAAAGAGGATTAGTACAGGCCTCACGATAGGAGGTAGGCTCATAAGTAGAAAAGGCAGCAGACCCAACAATATAATCACGAAGATGAAGAGGTGGCTAAGTTACCCAGTGCAGCCGACTCGTGGGAGGATCGGTAGGAGGAAGAACTGGTGAAGAAGGAGGAAACGGACTAGAAGGTGTAAGGAGAGGTGAACCATCAGGGAGAATAGTTTGGACGGGATCAGGGAGCAACAAGGGCATCTCGATGAAGGAGGAACCTATATCAAAGTTATTAGAGAAGAGATCGATGGAAGGATTTGTAAATATGACAGGAGTGGAGAGTGCGGATAAGTGAAAGGAGGAGAAGGAGGAAAACATTTTATGCTCCTAAAAGACTACATAGTGGGAGATACGAAGACGCTTAGAGAGAGGATCCCAACAGCGAAAGCCTTTATGTTCAATCCTATAGCCAAGAAAGCAGCAAAGACGAGAACGAGGTTCAAGCTTGGTGTGTTCATGGGATTGAAGCAGAACAAAGCAGGCAGAGCCAAAAACCCGAAGATTAATGTATGGAGGGGGAGTGCCATGTAGACGTTCAAATGGAGTTTGATGATGGATAATAGGGGTAAGAACACAATTGATAGTGTATATAGCAGTAAGGGCAGCCTCCCTCCAAAATTTTTCAGGGCAGGAAAAAGAGAGAAGGAGAGCACGAGTAGTGTCAAGAATATGCCGATGTTTCTGTTCAGCACGTCCATTTTGTTGGGATGTGCCAACACAGGAACGATGAGGCTGAGTACCATGACTTTGAAAAAAGGAAAGAAAATCGATATCCCGATATTCCATAGCATTGTCAGAGTGAAAATTTTTATTGTTTTTGGAAAATTGGGTGTGGACCATTTTGGCAAAGCTATAATAAATATGTTTAAATTCAGACCAAGTTTTCATGAGAAAAAACCAAGTAAACCGTGAATAATTATCAATAAAAACAACAAAATAACAAGATCCCCCCATGGTGGTGGTAGTATGGGATGGGCCCCAAATATCCGAATGTATGAGATCAAAAGGAGCATGGGAAACAGAAGTACTTTTATTGAATGATAAAGTAGGTTGTTTTGCAAGTTGACAGGGTATACAATCAAAGGTATCTGGAAGTACATGACCCAATTGACCACTAGAAACCAAAGATTTTAAGTGACTACTAAAAATAAATCCTAAGTAACAATGCCAAAGATGAAAAGGAGACAAAGAGGAAGCAGAAGTAGGAGAAGCGATCTGTGGGGAGTCAGGAACATGAATTTGGATGAGTTCATAGAGACGTCCATGTTCACGGTCGATCCCAATAGTCTGTCCCGTCTAAGGATCCTGCACCAAACAACCATTAGCAGAAAATGTGACGGTTAGACCAAGCTCACATAATTGACTAATAGAGATAAGGTTTAAGGTTAGAGCAGGGATATGATAAACTTGAGGTAAAAATAATTGAGATGTGGAAATAGTACCGACATGACTGACAGACATAAGAGAACCATCAGCAGTATGAATGGAGGGAAGATGAGTAGAGGAACAGATGGAAGAGAATGTAGTAGAGCTGGATGTCATATGATTACAACAGGCGGAATCAAAATACCAAGAAGAGTTACTTGGAGTCACAGACAAAACAGTAGGAGGAGGTGTACCAAAGGTGGAGAGAAGCTGTTTGAACATGGCCTCAACTTCAGTTTGAGAAAAAACAAGGACAGACGGAGCAAGAGACTCAGAGAAGTCCTCAGATGTAGTAGCAGCAGTGCGATTAAACTGTCGATGTGAGTTCTCCCTAGAAGAGCCACCGCGAGAGGAGTGGCTAGTGGAAGACGACTAGGATGGATTGCAAAAACAATCCTGCTGCAGATGACTAGGACCAAGTTTATTGCAATAGTGGCAGGATCGAATAGGGCAATGAACCAGAAGATGAGTAGAAGGAAGGCCCCGATTCTGACAATAGATGCAAGCAGTGGTCCGTTGGGTCGGTGAGGGCCGTGACTGAGGAGTGGAAAGAACAGAGTCCATGTCACGCCCCAAACCCGCCCCTAGAAGTTTGGACATGACCACTTCAAAAACGGACACTTAACCTGTTATATATAACATATGGGGCCTGAGTGGAAGCATAAATTTTATATAATAACATGCAAGGAAAGAGCTACATCCATTGAGCGACCACTATCATGCCAGGATCACAAATAGACAGATAATAATAGTTACATACACATATACAACCCCGCCCGTGTTTGGGCGTATAATAAAAAAAAAAAAACATTAGAAGTTACAACATATTATAGACAATCAGAATCTAAGCCAAAACTTCACCAAACGGGTAGGCTTCACCCAAATGCTTGGACACACAGAGGCTAACAAGGAAGACGAGCATTAAAAGTTGAGGCTGACCTCCAAATGCAGGACCTACGGAATCAGACAAAATACATAGTGAGATAACCTCAGTGAATAATAGTACGTGAATAACTCAATGTTCAACTTGAATTATAATGCAAATCAGAGTTTATATAATATAAAAGACAGGTAGTTAATCTGATTCCGTACTAATGTCAGAACGGTCTTGTTGGTTCACAAATTCACAGACTGGCCCTTGGCCTGGTGGGTTCACATATTCACAATTAGCCTTTGGCTTTATAGATTCATAATTGAGATTCATAATTGGCCCTTGGCCCTTTGAATTCATAGTTTCACACGTTGGCCCTCGGCCTCATAGATTCATATTTTCACAAGTTGGTCCTCGGCCTCATAAGTTCACAAATTCACAAGTTGGCCCTCGGCCTCATAAGTTCACAAATTCACAAGTTGGCCCTCGGCCTCATAAGTT